GTACTACTATCCCAGTATCCTACTATGAAATCCTGTACCAATTTCACAGCATTGTCTCGATTGGCTTTGTTCTCTCTTACGCTGTTGCACAATTGCTACTTTCAAAATTAAAAAAAAAATACATGTTAAGACCCAAGCATCTGTAGAATCTATAAACAGTTTATGAGAACTGATCTTATGACAATTGATGAAATGAACAAATACTTTGAAGAAAAGGAGACACTAAAATACGCAGTGCTAATCCTGGAGTGTCATAATGCGAAACCCAGCAACAGTGTTATTCTTTATTCAGAGTGATATTAGCCTGCTTATTGAAAGTCAACATAATTGAAGATATGGGCAACTGCATGTATGTTTAAGCATAGAGGATTGATAACCATATTTCTAAGTTTTTGTTGGATAGTTGAACAGAACTGGTTGCAGTCTCACTGTTTGAATCCCCACTTTATATGCTCCAATTTAGTATCTTGAATAACTATTTGTAAGAAGACAATCTGTAATCATCAACTAGTGATTTATTACTGTTTATTTTTTTCTTTGAAAGTATGTATTATTTCTACCCGTTATCTGCTTTGTTTAGTCTTTCTTTAAATAAAATTTTTAAAAAAGACACTACAGTACCCAGTGCTGATCATGGAGTGTCATGAAGTGAAATCCAGCAATACTATTATTCTTTGTTCAAAATGATTTTAACCTGCTTTAGTCAAAAATGAAGATATGGATAACTGCATGTATGTTTAAATGTGTAGGATTGACAACCATGTTACTAAGTTTTTGTTGGACAGTTGATTAGAACTTTTTGCAATCTCTCTGTTTGAATTCCCACTTTACATGTTCCATTTTTGTACCTTGAACAACTATTTGTAAAACGACAACATCAACTAGTGATTTCTTACTCTTTTTTTTCTCTGAATGTACGTACTATTTCTACCTATTTTCTGTTTTGTTTAATCTTTTAAAAAAAAGCTGTAGGAAGGTAAGGCATTTCTAAAAATTTTTTTCGCTTGACAAATTGAATCCGTATGTTCTGGAACTTCTGGAACATTAATGTGTTTATGAATCATTTGGGCTTTTTTTTCCCTGAACGTAAGTTGTGATTTAGAAAATCTGGTTTGAGTTCAGAAATTCAGTGTTTGTAACAAACTCCGTGGCAATGCTGATATTGTTCATGCAGGACTACAGTTTGAATAACAGGGTTGAGTACTCATTCTCTCTAGTGGTTTTGGAAGCTAGGATTCTGATGGTTTTCACCACCAGCCTAGTAAGTGGTAATAGTTGTGTCAGGGTTTGTTGTGGTTTGTATGTAACAAAGGCCCATATGCTAAGAGCTTGGTGGCCAACCTGTGGTGCTATTAGGAAAAGATAGAACCTTTGGAAGATGGGGCCCAGTGGAAGGAAGTGTGGTCATGGGGCATGGACTCAAGGAGTATATTGGCAGTCCAGTCTCTTCCTCCTTCCCAGCTGCCACACATTTCTGCCATGATGTACTATGGTATCCCAAACACCAAAAACAGGGCCAAATGATCATGAACTGGAACTTCTGAAACCATGAACCACAACATATGTTTCCTCTTTATAAGTTCATTCTCTTATTTTGTTGTAGCAATGGAAAGTTGACTAATACACTGAATCATATTATATTGTCTTATTTACTTAAGCATATCTGCTGAGCCTGAAAAAGATGATGCTCTGTCTCACTCTCCTGGTCCTCTTTGACTCTGCTGTCAGTCCAGTGATTGGATTCACACAGAACCTAGACAAGGACATGGAGTCAACAGATTGTATTAGTTTTCATTATCTGTTCAACTCTCTACTGAGATGGTATCTTGATTACTTTCCTCATTGCTGAGAAACAAATACCCAAACCCACAAGTTAAGGGATGAAAGATTTATTTAGCTCACAATTGTAGAGGGTTCACTTCATAAGTGGCTGGCTCCAAAACAGGGTGGCACATGTCAGAGGACAATAGTTAGTTCATGGTGACAATAGTTAGTTCAAGCAACAAGCAAGCAAAAAGGAGGAGATAAACTTCTTTCTGTCCCTTATAATGAACTCAGTCTACTGGGTTGAGGGTGATGCCAATCCAATCTGTGGACTGATCTAGCAATCACTCACTCTTAATCTGAGTACCCTTAATTCCATCTTTGCACTATGAATCAATCATGCACTCTAGATTCAGACAGCTCCGAAAAAATCCTATGACTGCATGAGACTTTAGGGGTATATGTAGACACAACCCATAATAGATTGTGAGACAGTTGTATGTCCTGTGTGAGAGAGACAAAAGTTGTTATTTATATTATTTTAATAATATGAATATCTTCTCTTTTTGGATAGCAAGTGCTTCTTGTCTTTTTCTGAGAAAATATTCTAAGCATATCACTCTTATGAGGGTCTTTGTGGTGTTCTTTCTCAGAAGAAAGATGGTTATGTAAGAGCAGGGCTCATAACCCACACAGCCGCAAAATAGCTCAGTATGTCTTCTATGTTGGGAATGATTTTCCTTCAGAGAGCTACAAGAATTGGCCGACCTTAGATTTCTGCTGAAACTCCAGATGAGAGTTGAAAATACCTGCCCAGACTAACACTGGCACACACTGGCATGTCCTTTGGGGAATTTGAAATCATGTGTCATCCTTCTTTACACCCCTGCTTCTTCTTGACCTTATCATTGGGTAGGCAACAGTGCCACATGCCACACTAACATTCTCACCTGTTTAAGAAAGTTTGAGGTACTCTGCACTGGCTTCTAAAGCTTCACAATCAAGAGCAGAATAAAGAGACAGAAACACAACAAAATACAACAGGACAGCTGGAGAAAGGTAACACTGAATCTCACTGTGAATTGGATTCTTATGGAAGTATGAAAACCTCAGGTAAAGAAAGGAATGGTGGTGCCTGCCTGTGGTTGCAAGCACTCAGGAGACTGAGGCAGAAGGATCACTGTGAGTTCCAAGTCAGTCTGGGCTACGAATGGGTTCAAGGCCAGCCTGGAGGACATAGCAAGACCTTATCTCAAAACAACAACAACAACAACAACAACAATGACAACGACAACAGCAGCAGTGACAAAACACCCAGATAATTTTATGATGGTGGATGTCACGTAAAGGGTGGAGATGAGCTTGGGTATATAAAGAAACTGGCAAGTTGAGGAACAGAAAAGGCAAGGCTCAATGCAGGAATGCTGTGGTGAGCAAAGATACATTTCTGAGGATATTATGGGCTGGCTTCCCAGAATATGCATCCAGAAGCCTGAAGGAGGGGTACTGGCAAAAGTCCTCCATGTTACTCAGTCATGGCCTGTGAATAAACCCAAAGAAACAACTGAGCCGAATTTGAAAGAAGGCATCTGGTTTACCTCCCAGGGCTCACATTTGGCTAACATAGATTGGAAGAAGGAAGTTCGGGAGAGGAAATGACTCTGATTTACTGAGTGGGATGTGACAGTCTGGGTCTCCCAAGACTCCTACCTGTGTCAAGTCTCCTGCTAGTTCCCCCTGAAACATCAGAATGAATGGCCACAACATGCAGTCACGACCTGCAGAGTTGGTTTGTATGTCATATAATCTTATTTTTATATATTTATTGAGGTTTTCCCCACCTATTGATAATTTCTTCTTTGTCTTCTAGATGTTTTGTCTTCCAATCAGATCTCAGACAGTCTTAGTTGAACACAAGTTATTATAAGCAGGAAAGGGCAAAATTCAGTTCCTTGGCTTTTGAGGTTCAACAACTTGTTTTAATTTCTGAGTACAGAGACTTTTGAGCAATAAATTTTGAGCACTGGAGGTCAGCTGGGAGAATATTTTTCAATAAAAGCCAATTATTCTTGTTATCTCTCACTCCATGAGACAAAAATTCCCAGGGAGTCATGATGGAGGAGTGCAGCAGACAGTCGCAAGGTCAGTGCTCCAGGGGCCACCAGAGGAGCTGAATTTTTATGGGGGAGGGGAAATCGGAGCTTGAAGAGGATATGAGCTGTCTTCTCTGTCTATACTTTCCTTTTAAAAACTTTTTTCTTTGTATTTTATGAAAAAATAAAACAAAATTTCATAACCAAATAATAAGAGAATAACAGTAGTTATTATACTCTATATTGTTATCTTCAAAGTAGTTTACTCAGCACGGCATAAACCAAAAGGATTCATTACAGAAGTTTTCTTTTCAGCAAACCAAGATACTATTAGTCTTAATGAAACAAATTAGCATATACTGAAATATTTTTAAAACAATAGAATATGTAATTTGGGAAAGTATGTGTGAACTTGTCTCTACTTCCTATTTATCTCTCTTCTATTTGGTTCTTTGTGTACAAGTAGTTATAGTATTTCTTATCCTTGTTTGGCTCCATTTAATGTGATGTTAGCAGTGGCTTGGTCCTAACTGGATTTTATCGTGTTGAGATTAAGACTTATCTTCTTAAGGTTTTTAAATTTTTAATTATAAATCTACCCATAGTTTCTAGCTCCTTGAAATGGTCAGTGTCAAATTATAATTTTTAGCCAGTTAAAAACATACCTTGCATAAAAATATAGTGAGCGTATGACAGAAAGTGATTTAAATCATTAATGAGGGAGTTAGATGGATGGTGACCTAACTGAAGTGGAAACATAAGAAAGTGATATGTTACAGGCAATTAATCCACATATGGGATTATCTGTTCTGCTGGAAAAAAAAACACTGCAATTTTACTGATCAAAAATAATTAGCAGCTTATTGCCCTTTCTCCAAGAAGAGTCTGGGCCTTAATAGTAAGTAGTGAGTCAAGCAAAGTTGCCTTCCCCTCTAGAGTATGAATTTTAATTAAAGAATACTATTTTTCCTGGAGGATGAAAATTGGCTTTTGGTGAGTGAGAAAAAGCATTACAATGTTTTGTGACTCTTCAAAGTACAATGCTATCTGAAAAACATTCCTGTTCACTGTATTTTATTAGAGGTACATTAAATGAATTAATCAACCAATTAATTCTTTCATCTTGTTATGGTTTGTGTCTAGGTGGCCCCTCAAGCCTCATGCAGTCAAGGACATGGCTGAATCTAGTGTTCATGACTGGTATGTTGTCTAGCACTGGGACTGTTGGTGTGAGTGCTGTACCCGCCCAGGAGTGGAGCCAGCATACAGGTTAAGGGTGAGAAAGGGTGCTTTCTCTCTTTTGCTCTGTTCATGCTTACTGTTTGCAGTGGCTGTGAACAGCCAACCTGCCATGCTGCCTACATTGAGTCAACTGAGTACGGACTGAAACCCCCAAGAACTGTAAGAAATAAGCCTTCCCTTGCTTCACTTTGGGCATCAAGTATTTTATCTCAACAATGAGAGAAAAGTAACCAAAACATACCTTAAAAAGTTTTCCACCAATTTTGCATTGTGGCAAATGTATGTAACATAAAATTTAAGTGGTGCAGCCATCACCATTGCCTATCTCCATAACCGTTCATCTTGAAACACGGTAACACTGGATCCCTTGAATAGCTTTCAGTTCTCCCCTCCCCCAGACAACCATTATTCAGCCTACTCCTTGATTCCTGGCCACTATCAGTAGCTGATTAAGTAAAGTCATGCAGAACTTGTCTTTTTGTCATGGCATCATTGATCTTAGTGCAATATCCTCAAGGTTCATCTATGTTGCAGCTTGTGTCGGAATTTCTTTCCTTTGGAAGGCAGCACAATATTTCATGGTGGAGACACACAGCATTTTGTTTGTCTATCATCTGTCAGTGAACACTTGGGTCACTTTCCTGTTGAGGTTAATGTGCATGAGGCTCTTGGGAATAAGGGTGCAATGTCAACTGATTATTAGTTAAATCAGCTTAAATTAATGCATTAAAATTAAATTGGAATGTAAATTGGAGGGCACCAGTGAAAATACACTTGAGAAACATTGCCATATAGTATCAGGTACACCTGAGAGGTCTTCTTAAGTATTGCTCCACAACGAATTAAAAAAAACCAAAAACAAAATGTGTAGTCATACCTTGTCTTCTTTGTAATATGTACATAATTTTTCTTAAACTAAGAGAAAAATACAGAGTATGACTAGTTGCATTGGACATCTAGGTGGAGACAGCCAAAGGTATTTAACTTCAGAGAGCCCTGGAAAAGGCAAAAGAAAAATATTTGCTGAGAGATTATGGAACTCAGGGTTTAGTTGGGTGACAAGGATCCAGGAGGAATCAAAAGTTGGAGATTCAGTGTCAGCAATCACACTCATTACAACAGATGTCAGAGAAGACAAGGACATTACATACCAGTCACACATGTTGCCCTGGCATCTGTGAATCTCTTGGATGCACCTGCCTCCATGGAGATAAGCATGGAGTGGCTCCAGACTGAATCCCATTATGCTTCCACCAGCCAGCATGATGGGGACTGTCTTAAAGCATATTCTGTTGCTACAACCAAATTCCTAAAGCAGGTGGTTTATAAAGAGAGGGGGTTAATTTAGTCTGCAGTTCTGGAGGGCCAAGAGTATATCACTAGCATCTGTTTGGTGTCTGCTTTCAACATTCACTCATGGCACAAAGCAGAAGGTAAGTTGGTACATGTGTGCCTGGGGGAGACAGAGAGGTTAACCCACCCTCTCAGTTCATTCTCATGGGTACTCATCCAGGCTCCAAAGACCTAACTCATTACCCTGAGCCCTGACCCATGCTCTCTGGGAACACCTGCGTCCATTCCTGAGAGTGGAGTTCTATGGTCTACTTACCTTGCTCCTGCCCAGCTTTTAAAGTTCCACCATCTCAGCACTGTTACTTTGGAGACAAGCTTCCAGCAATGCACTTTTGGTGGGGGAAGGAGGGATAACAAACCTGATCTAAATCATAGTAGAAATTTATGTTAGAAATTAAGCCCAGAGAACAAAAATACAGCATATACTCCCACACTTGTGGCATGAAATTTTACCTACTTATTTCTGTATGAGGTACAGGAGAAGAAAACTCAATAATGTGGAGGGACAGAGTGTTGGACTCCATGGGCTTCCTGAGAATGGGGAGCGGGTGCTGTGGAAAAGCACTCTAGGGCCTGGTGAGCCTTCCTTATGTGGGTTAGGACACAGTGCACAGGGTGGGTCCTGTCTTGCATCAGAAGCCAAAACCAACTTGAATTGGCAGCCACGGAGGTCTGTTTCCAGAATGTTGTACATCTGACTTCCCTTTTGTCCATCTTGCTGCAAAGTGGTAAAATGCTTTCTGAATCTAAGGCTCATAGCTCAGAGAAAAAGCCATGAGCACCATGACAGAAAGCTCCCAAGAATAATTCTGGTGACAGTTCCCTGGAAAACAAGGCATTCAGTCCTGAGGGCTGAGTTCATTTGCTCTGAATAAATCAGCATGATGGCCCAGGGCGAAGTATTGGCGGCAACCATCCCCTAGCCTTGAGCCCAGAGGAAGTTCCATGAACACCCTTGTCCTCTACCAAAGTATAACGCTGAGAGGTGAAAACTTAGAAGATGCACTGTGTCAGAGATTTATTCAACTCAGTAATGGGCAAGCCTGTGTGATGGAAGAGCTTACTCAAGGAGGTTTTGAGGAACTCTTTATTTATAAGCATTCAAAAATATGTATTAGAATAAATTACTAGGTTATGCGCAGAACTCATTAATGCTTATAGTAGAGCAAATATAACCAAAGCCTTTGGAGTTCTTTCATGTACCAGAAATTGTTTGTGTTTTTCCTGGTCAGAAATCTATATTCTAGAAAATCATACAAGGTCTAATTATATACCAGATAGGCAACACAAGTGCCTCCTCCTAGATACCTTGCCGGTCTCTGGGCAGGCTGTTACAGTTTAGATGTCGATGTCCTCCCAAGGGGCAGTGTTCACACCTTGGCCTTTGGCCTAAGGTGCTACTGGGGCATGGTGGCACCTTTAGGAGGGGGAACCAATGGATGACTAGAGAAATGCTCTCGATGGGACATTGGACTCTGGCCCTTCCTGTCTTTCTCCTTTGCTTCCTGCCTGCTGTGAGGTGAGTAGCCTGTTACGTTTTTTGCTCCCACCATGATTTACTCTGCCACTGCCACCTCATACCACAGGGCCAAGGGATGATGAACTGACACTTTTGAAATTGTGATCCAAAATAAACTTTTCTGCCTTGTTATTTATTTTAGATATTTTGTCACATTAATGGAAAAATGACACAGAGGACCTGACTTCTTCCTTTATCTTAATTTTAGCAAAATGTACATTTGCTTTTTGAAAAACTGGTGACAGTGTCCAGAGCTTGTCTAAGAGCTATAAACTCTGTGACATCAGCGCTTTGGGGGGCATGATTAGATACATATGTATCATAATTAAGGGAAACATACAGCACACTGTTGAGGACCTTTGGCTGGAGATAGGGAGAGCCCAGCTGGGAAGTGCAGAGAGTAACAGCTTTATACGTCATTGATCTTCATGTGATACTTTGGATTTAAATCAGGCTTTAGGCTGAGTGCAGGTGTAAAAAGAAAACAGAGCAAAGAAAGCTGATTCACTGAGTTCTATTTTAGCCATTAACTAAATGGATGACTTGCACAAGTCACACAAGACCTCTGTAGGTGGTAGCTTGTCTCCCAAGACAGCCTAACCCTCATTGTTATGTGAGCTGCACCTCCATTTGAACAAAGGAATGTGAGATAAATGATGCTGCCTAAGAAGGCCTGAACCAAACGTCTTGGGAAGCCAGTAAGCAGGGGAGGCATGGACTATGCTGCCGGAGAGTGGAGAGCAAACCATACGAAAGGGTCCTGAACGATGAGGGGCAACAGGGAAAGGGAAGCCCTGAGGAAGGGGACTGGGGTTCTGGACACTGGAGTGAAGATGGCATCTTGAATGCTTCAGCGTCGGACGACACCAAGGCTGTCTGTCATAGGATGACAGCCACACCAAAGCCCAAGTCAGTGTGACAGAAGGGCTCAGCAGATTTGAAAGGGTGTGAAGTTGCTGTATTATTAAATTTTATATTCCACAAAGTCTTCAGTGGTGATATATCATGCAGGTGCTGCTCCCAGAAATAACTTCTAAGATTCTTTCCCAGATTGACATTTCTATGACAGTCTGATGGATAGGGTTGTACGGTGCCTAAGACTTACAAGCAGACACTACTGTGGAAGAAGAAAACAAATTTTGTAGAAAATTAGATGTTTTCCTTTGCTCAAAAGGAAAATTTTAGCTTGGGTTTTAAGTGACCCAGATCTGCCAGTCTCCACATCTTACCTCCTCACGTTTCTTGGCTTTCCTTTTCTGTTTCACCAGGTCTTTGTTGAGATAGCCCTGCAGAGCACTCCCCACCAGCCCTTTCTAAAGTGGCCCCCTGCCGTGGGCCCTTCCCCAGGCTGCCTTTGCTCATAGCCCTCTCCCTGCATCCTGTATCGCTGCTTCTCATGCTAGACAGTCAGCTTCTGAGGGCAGGCATTTCTTTCCCATTAAGCTGTATCTCTGGCCGTGAGATCATTGTTTGGAATATATTCACCACTCAAAGAATATTTGTTTAGTGCATGACTTCCTTTTCCACTGTTAAAAAAGATTAGAAATATTAAGAATCCTGGGGATCCTGAGAAGAACGCGTGGTGATGCCCCAAGGGAAAGAGGCTTGTGTCTGCATTCGAGTGCACTGAGGCAGTGAAAAGTAATTTTAATTTCTTCCCAAAACCAATACAATAATTTGATGCAGGCAAATTTAGAGGGGACCCTGTCTCGTATGGGTACACTGGAGCTAAAGGCCTCACAAATGAACTAAGAGAAGCCATTTAAAAGAGCTGAAGATGTCTCTGCCAGGCAAAGATATACTGTGTATGACACCTCCCCTCAATGGAGGTAAGCCTGATGAGGAAAGGGGGAATTTTAGGGGAAAGTTAAGCTTAATTGCGATGATGAAAAGTTATAGGGTCTTCTCTAAAGGAAGCCAGGGATCTGTCACTTCTTGAATTAGTGTGAGGTTGGACAAATCACAAGAGAGATGCCCTGGGGAAGTCTGGAGCGAGACTCCATGAGAAAAGGGAGACCTCAGAGGGCCAGGGGCTCTTTTCCGTCTGGTGTGGAAGGTTTTATTACGTAGATCTGGGTGCTCAGTGCAAACCTGAAAGGAAAGAATTGCTTCAGGATGAGATTTACTGTAGCAACAAAATATTTTTCTTCTAAGGAAACCTG